CAGTAAAATTACTAAAAAGGAAAAAAACGACTTATGAGTTAAAATCGACGAAAAATGCAAGAAATGAAATATAAATTGGTTTCTTCGTTTCGTCATAACAGAAAATGAATATAATAAAGTGAAAAAATGCCATTTCATTATAATCCGCCCCTATTAACGACTCAAAGTTATCGACATATGTTTTAAAGCTGTCTGAAATAAAATAGAAATCTCCAAAAACATTATTTCATGTCTTTTATTTTTGTTTCGAAGACTAAGAAAATGAGTGAGATTTACAAATATTTACAAGTTCTGGAACAATAAAGTCACTATGCACTATTAACGCAGAGTTAAATACGTTTATGAAAATGTAATTTTATATTTACCAAGATGTGTACATGTGTGCTATAGCAAAGAAACGCTATTGTTTAACTTTAACTAAAAAGATAATGAAATTGTCACATATAATATTATAACTCCAGAAATTATGTCGTGTAAAGCCCACTGTCGGAGGGAGACGTGCTGGACATTGCGTTTACTTTCCGAACTTAAGGAAACGAACTGCTTTGCTTCGCTAACAATAACCTCACACTCTCATGTTTTCTCTAAGGAAGAAAGGGGAAATGTCGACTGCTCTCAGTAGATAGATTACAACTCACGCAATGAAATACTAAACAAGTGGCGGCAAATACGCTCTATTAATTTTTTACCCACTTTGGTTAAGTAAAGTGAAACATTATGCTACTATAATCAGTTTCGTAATTAAGAAATATACCGCTTGAGTGTGGTAATGTATTTTATTGCTACACTAGTGCGATAAAGTAATGAAGTATGAAGATACGATGAATGAAGTAATGAGGTACTTTACAACTCTTTTTTAAAAAAATATTTTAAACTTCATTTCTCTTGAATTGTACACCTCTTCCTTTTAAAAACTCTAATAACTGTACACCTATTCATAGCAATGTTTTCTTGGCTGTCCGGTTTATAATACCGGGCGCGCAGAACCGCGGTGTCACTGTCCCAAGGAAGCATGCGACACATAACACGAATCGTCGCTCTCTATACCCGCGACGCAGTGTCACTTGAACATGGATTTGAGTCGCAGAAGCTCACGTTTACATTTGATACCAATGCTGTCATTAAGTGATATTGATCTCTTGAACATAGAGTAGTGAGACCAAAGACTTCTTGGTTTCTCCTTCTCTGACTTGCGAGGAAAGTAAGCAAAAGCTTTTTCTGATATAGAATGAACGTTTTTTCACCCCTATCTTTTAAAATTAAATACTCACACTTATATTTTCTTACTTTGTTGGGTAACAATGTTTCTACCGCAGCATTTGCAGCTATTTCCATTCCCGAATAAGAATTATATTCAATGAAAAGTATACACCAAGTATGTTTCAACAGTTCTCCTTGTTTACAACAGTGTCGCCACGAATAGGAGAAAAAATGTGAATATTCATTAAGGCGTAGGACGAAATTCCACATTAAATCTAACAAATTTTACAAAGTGAAAAAAAAACATTGTACGGTATTGGTGTCGTAAGATCTGATAACAATAGTCAATTGGCAATTTTCTAATCTCGTATTGTAATCAGATGCTTAACGACACTAGTATCGTAAATAACTATTACTAAAATTTACTCTTTAGAGTACGCAAGATTAAGCAAGCGGTAAAACGTCTGAAACCTACATTTTTTTTATTTCAAGCATAAATCAGAAAATTTCGTTGAATAGAAAGCTCAAACCAAAAACTAACTTTTAACTTCTAAAAAAAAACTCTTAGTGTTTGAAATATAAAGATTTTGCAATTTTTTAAATAATACAGGTTTTGATGAAAATTATAACTACACAATACATACTCATACATGCATTTTATTTTCTTCCAGCAAAGTATTTCAAGAAAAAAAGGCAATCATTATCCAGAAAAATGAAAATATCTCAGAGGCTTCCGATAAAGTTCCCCCAAAATTAAAATATTTGAATGATCATCGGATCGACATAACTATATGTTAATCCTAATATATTTACCATTTCAGACCAAAGTTTCTAATTTGACAGGGCTATGCGTGACACAAACATGGAGTCAGACATCCTTCCAAGCACTAATCCAGCCACATGTATTCTTGCATACTGGGGGACAAAACCCGACATCCCCATTTTCGGGTATAAAATTGCGTGCATTTCCTCGTCACCTCCACCAATCTTAACTATTTTAGGAATAGTGCTAATATACCTTAATACTGACGTTTGTGCGCAGTTACAGTTCAAATGAATCTTAAACACGGATTTTACAACTAAATATTATTGAGGTGGTTCCAAAACATTTTCTCCCTATACTATAGTCTGAAAGAAAAGTAAAACTAAAAAAGAAAGGAATAGAGGGTGACTTAGAAATATATATATGCATCCAATTTTCTACCCGAAAATAGGGATGTCTGTACGGATGTCTGTGTGTATTGAAGGATGGATGCGTCTTAAATTAGTAGCTCTTGATATGAAACTTGGTAAACAGGCCAGGAGTAAGATCCAGTTGTTCCAGACCATTTAAGCACCAATAAGGTGGGGTGGGTGCTTCAAAGCCATCTCTCCGAAAAGGAGGAGGAGGAGGAGGGTGCGGGGGCAAGGCCGCTGCCCTCCCATGTAACTGACCCTCGATGCCGCCGGCCGGGGCGCTGCTGGGAGCTGAACTGCGCCCGCTGCGCTTCCCCGGGGCCCGGCTCCCGCTGCGCGCAAGCGGCGCTCGGTTACGGCGCGGCCGCAGCTGGCCTAACGACGCGACGCGGCGCAGCGCGGCGCACACTGCTCGCGACCCCGCAATGGGCCCGGTCACGTGCGTACGCGAAAAAAGTTTTCATTTTTATATATACAATATCAACTCTGAAAGCTTTAAATAACAAGAAACTAAACAAATAAGTAATTATTATAAATTTCTTCAAGGAGAACTATAAGCTTCCGACTTGTTCCCTGAAAATTATAGTAGTGTAGTGTATGAAAGTGTGCGTGTGTGTATCTGAAGGGACAGGAGGGAATATGGATAAGGAAGGTAAGATTGCGCGTGGTACGTGGCCCGTTTGTTTAGGTACTGCTCTGAAATTTGCCTAGTATCGACTGGAACAAACTCGAAATACTACACACTAGCAATCGCACCCCTAAACGTCACCTTCAGCCAGTGGCTTGACTAAGGCTCAGCTGACTACGACCCAGCTGTCTATCTAGAGTCATAAAAAATCCGTCGCAGTCGGAAGTCGAACTCTCGGTGCACTGTTCAATGGTCTTGACACTGGGACATCGCAGCTCAGGCAAGGTGGCCGAGACTTTACTACATCATCTAGCCGCGCGGGCAGGGGCGTTCTGCGCGCGTGTAGGGGCCCCTTCCGCCCCACTGTGCGCTGCTTCTCGGCTGGGGCGCGGGGCGCCTGGCGCAGAGCGGCGGCGCGGGCGTCGCGTGTCAATCGAACGAGGGCGCCTCCCCCGACGCCGACTCTTTCCCTCCCCTCCCCTCCCCTCCCCCGACCCAGAAAGACATTGGACACCGCAACCTCCCTCGCCGCCGGCAGCGCACGCTGATCGCGGTTCTGCCGCGCACGGATTACAGCCAGCTCAGCTGGGAGGCCGTCCTCTTGGCCTCGACCAACGACGCATCGCCCGTTTAATGATCTAAGTATATTTCACTCACGAAATTAACAACAAAAGCATTTAACAATATACAGATGTCTTAGAATAAATGTTACAATACTCCAGGGCATGTGGGGGTCGATATTTTTGGCCATTGGTGAGAAATTGCACATAAATGCCGGTGTACTTATACAAGTGGTATTTGTCCTGATTTTTAGGCAACTTGTATACAAACTGAGTTCAGCAGGACACGTTATGATTCAGGTACGTGCTCAACATTCGATCATGTGCGTAAAGTGTTGGTTAAAAATCAGGGGTAATCTAATTAAAATATAAAAAAAAACTAATAAGACATACTCTTTTGGAATGATTCATACCTGCTTTAATAAAGTTTCTATTCTAAAAACTACATAAACATCAATAAACTTTAGATTCTGCATAAAAGGTAAACTTTGTAAATATTAAATAGCGTGGATTTAAGATAAATTAAGAAGCAGTAAGTTCTCCAGTTGCAAGAGAAGGGATCTCGTATGCCTAACACCTGCAAGTATGCAACCCACCAAACGTTCCGATGGAAAGTGTAGCCTTTGGTGTGTCATATTCCAAGGTGCCTAACTTGTGGATAGTTTACTGCTTAGAATTAACTCTTATATAGTATTTGAAATCTATACAACTAATCTATTAAGATAACTAATTGAATTTGAGGTGGAAAGTGTTTGGGAGAAAGGAAAATTGGCATGGAGCGTGCACAGAGAAACAGGAACATTGAAAATACAGAGAGACGTGGCACGTGAGACTTAGAGCACAGGGAGCTGTGTGTCAGACGTGGAGTACGGAGCGTGGGCATGGAGTTGGACGATGGGGTGTGCAGTTTAGGCTGTGGAGAGCGGAGTACGAAGCGTGGAAGTGATGGAGGAGTTGGCGTGTGGCGCGAAGGGTGTAGGACGTAATGATAAGGAATGAGGGGTAGAACGTGGTCTCAGGTTGGGGGTCGTGGAAGTGAGGTGTGATGTCGAGTGATCTTGAGGTATAGAGGCGTGGTGCATGAAGTGTCCGGCGTGAAGCGTAAGGTGTTGGGCGTCGGGAATGGATCACAGGGTGCATAGTGTACAACTTCGGGGGCGGGTAGGGCGTGGAGCTGGAGACGTGGGGTGTTGGGCATCGGGCATGGGGGGTGGGGGAACGGAGTGCAGGGCGCCAGACACAGATCTTGGGAAGTGGGGCATGTGGTGTAAGACGTAAGGTGCAGGGCGTGCGGCCTCAGGGATGGAGCATTTGGTGCAGGGCGTGCGGTATGAGGCGTGAGGTAGATGGCGTAGGGCCTTGGGAAAGCGGGCAGTAGGGCGCACGCTACGTGGCGAGGTGTAGGGCGCAGGTCGCGGGTCTGGGCGACGGCTCACCTGGATGGCCTTCTTAGCGAGGCGCGGGATGAGAGTCTCCGAGTAGACCTGGTGCACGGAGAACGAGGGCTGCTCCACGGCCGCCAGCCGCCGAATCTCCTCCCAGCGCTCCTCGCCATACACCTGCTTGATGTAGTCGCACAGGTTCTCCAGCAGCAGCCCGTACATGACGGCAGCCGGCCGGCCTGCCTGCCCACCTGCCCTGCGCACAACCACCATGCACTCCGTTATTAACCGTGCTCTTTTTATTGAGCTCCAAAAGGCATCTCCCCTTTTTTTATTGACTCCATGGTCGAATTACGAATAAATACGAGCCTTTTTGACAATCAACAATTCATTGCTCTCGTTGTATAGAAAATATTTCCAATAGAAAACGCGCTGATCTGCTGTAGTACTGACGACGACGTTCTACCTCTCCTGTAACAACCACCAATATGATACCTCGTAAATATGTGTGCGGATTACACTACGTATGAGCGCTCTAAGACCAGAAGCGGTCGGTACCTAAGTACGCTAACATTTTATCACTAGGAGCCTGTATTTACATTCCAAATACTCGGCATAGAAGATACAGAGGACAATTCTGTTACTCGGAAGAATTTCTGGGAGTTTTCATTGTCCCCGACTCTCATTATGTCATTTCTCTAGCACCATCCACATCATCAGCGTCTTCTCATCTGTTGACTAACAATATTGGTTTCTGGCATATACCTCAGCCTCAACCACAAAGAAACATTAAATCAAGCTAACATTCCGCCATCATAAAGGAGAGATACCAGCCAATTTGTTAAAAGTTTACTTTTTTATTGCTGTGAATTCTTTATAGTTCTAATATTTTTCGACTGTAGAAATAAGTCGAAATAACAGTATTTCAGGTGATCAAATTACAGCAATCCAAAATGTAATACTAATATCAGCCATTGTCGAATTAGTTGCAAAATTCGTTGCAATCTACAAGAGTTGTAGAGTTTTTGACTGAAATTTTCAATAGTACTGAGATATCAAGACTGGGCTAAGGTATGTAGGTCCAGAAGGACTCCTCTAAGGAATACTTCCGACCGATATTTAACAATCGCAGATGCAAAATATGACTAGCTTAATACTTGAGGGTGTGGAGAGTTACGTTGAGTTTCTACTCAGGGACGCGTGAGTCAGTATAAAAACAAAAAATCATAATCAACGCGCGTCTGCGTGTAACAGGCGCTCACAAATTCCCGTTTTACTGTGACTTTATACTTCGCAATGCAAGCAATAAGTTGACAAAGTTTTATCGCAATGAACGGCAGCGGCTGCGCATAAAATACGAACACACATTGATTTTTATATATTAAATTTGTACCTAAGAATAAACACCAGAAACATCATTGTCCTTGACAAGGATTCTTAGAAGCCAACACTGTGACGAAGTCTGGTGTAGGAAGAGCGCAGTCTCACTCGAGCGTCCGCGCGCCCCCGCTTCCGCCAGAGCTCTTCCGGCATCGCGGGCGGACAGACAGCACCACGCCCCTCCCTCGCACAGGGCGAGGGTGAACGAGAGGGAGAAGGAATCAAGAGGCCCGGCCGATCGGTAAAGCTTCATCTGCGAGCACGCCGCCGCCGTTCTAAGATAGAACTTACGCACGCACGTTCGATTCAGGAAAATGAAATGATTCGTGCAATAAACACAATTGGAAACTAAAAGTAGTGACTTAAGTCATATTTTCACAACTTTCAGGGTTTCAGAAAAGTGTCTTCGAAAAAAATCAAAACAATTTTGTCTATGTTAAATAGAGTCAATACATGTTGTTGATAGATTCATATAAAGTGCGAGGAATTGTGTAAAAACATAATATTGAACTGGGACCAAAAAATACTAATTAATACGACTTGGGCCACCGACATTCTTAGCCTCATATATCTTATACTATATCCTTTTTACATATGTGTATTAATTAATTGTGCTTAATAATCTCAATTATATTGCAATTTGATATAAAATATTTGTTAAGTACTTAGGATATTATAAAATTTACTGCACCTATCTACGGTATTAGTTTGATTATTCAAACTTTGCGTAAATTCTAACAGAATTGGTTGGAATGGCGCATACTTTTATTTTGAGTATAAAATTGAATTGTGGTTCAATCATCTGTTCGTACTTTCTCTGAGTCTTCATATTTTATTGAATTATGACACAATGAGTAGGGGGAAAATTCCTATGTGTTTTTTTAGTCAAAAGGCCATATACTTGCTGCAATGGCTAAGTGGCAGCTTTCTAGTTGCCCAAGACGTTCTCGGATTCCTGATCCGATAATGGTGGATTTTCAAACTTCCGAAATCAAACACGAACTACACTGTCAGAACGTGTGAATAAAGTAGTTGACACGCCCGAAATCACTAAATAATCAATCACATTTTCTTTATAAAAATAGTATTGTCTGTTAGAAACAAAAGCCTTACTATTTAGAGCAGAAGTAGATTTTGTTCTAGGGATAAGATTTCCAAGTTAAGTAATCTTCTGGAGATACATTAGAGATCATTTAAATGTTTCTGAGGGTTCAATAAACTGCGGAGAAAGGGCAGAAACATATCAGTAGCGCAATCAGTCGCCATTCGAACTACTGAGCTCTGACGATCTCAACCTCACTTCTCGCTCTTCAGCTGCGTTGCACTAATCAAGAGACCCTCTAAAATACAGCATTGTCGATACGGATAGAAAATGTAGGCTCTACAAACTCTATCCCTTCTTTATTTGACGAAAGGTCAGTTAGATTATAATAGAGAGTCTCTATTTCTTTTGATTCTGTAAAAAATGATAACTGTTCAGAAAATGCTTATAATTGTTCGAATTCCAAACGATGAGCGCACATTATCTGCGACTAATAAATACAAGTTGTATTACAGCTAAATTTCCTTTTTCAACAACTTAAATAGAATCGTTGTCTGAATTGTTAACTTGTAAAATTAAATGGTGTGGCCTCTTTCATTTACCACTTCTAATAATGCAAATTATAATATTCTAATTTCATGCATTTTTTATTAATTTATGGAAATAATATAAATTATTACGTGAAGATGCAACATAACATAATTGTTTCATCGGCACTTAAAAGATATCTGAACGTATAGCTAAAGAAATAAAGAAAGAAAGAAAGACAGAAAGAATGTTCTTTAAAAGAAGGGTGCTTCCATATGAATTATGAAGTATGCTAACCTTTAAAAATGTAAGTGTACCATATGAAATGTAGTAGATGAAAGAAAAGGGTAAAAAAGTCACTATGTTGGCTCACACACAAAAAGTCACTCGATCTCCTTTTGCATTGGTTGGCGTGCACTCGCCACCCCCCGCACGCTCCAGTAACTCCTTTGTACTAGAGTTGCGAAGGCGACTTGTTAAGAAGGGAAATCTTTCCTCTTTAATTTCAATGTAATTTTAATTTGAATGGAATCGTGTTTTAACTTTATTTATCGAGGTTTTATTCACGTACCTTAAAAATTAAATGTTCGAAATGCCGATATTTTTAATCAATACGTAAAGTAAACAGAACTACTGTCGACTCTGGTTATAGTGAACTCGAATATAGTGAAATTAAGTCACTGGCCCCGTTTCACTTACTGTCCAAATGAGCATAAGACGAAGTGAACCTGAACCTCAGCTATACAGAAAGTAGTAAATACGACCTGGAACGACGTGTAAAAGAGACTTCAAAGAGTGGAAATACGATACGTAGATGCTAAAGACAATGCAGAATCAAGTATGGAAGGAGTACAAACTCTGGAGAAGTATCTAGAGAAATTACTAATGAAAAATGTACGAAACAAACAACTGAAAATAATTAATTTTTAAGGACCAATAAAAATATTTAAATGTTCAGTTCGTGGTGTTAATGTATTTCGCTATATTTCTATATTAATAAAATTAATCGTTATGGAGAAATTATATTTAATTTTGATATCGTAATGAGAGAGTCTATGATATAGTGAACCAAAAATGTTAGTCCCAAGTGTGAAGGGTAGTCAGAAAGATAATTAAATGGGAATAACAAATTCACGTAATTGTAAATATGGACGTCAGCAATAATGGGGGAATAGAAAAGAAACCGAGGTGAGATTTATTTTTGAAACAATACAAGGAAAGCACAACAGAATTGATTGTAGCGAAAATACATAATATGTTAACAAATAATGCAGTGAAAGGACACGTGAGCTAATTCCGTGGCGCAGAATATATTCGTATATTAAGAAGTTATTACGAGCAGGAAATCAAAGAAAAAACAGATACCTTGTTAAATGTGTGTGACCAATCAGAAGTGAGATCGTCTGAGGCAAGAATCAGATGAAAGGCGCGCGAGATGGAAAAACGGGGCAGACGATGTTCTGACACTGTGTTAACCAGATGTAAAAGGGAAAGCTATTTGGTTGCGGGAAGAACTATACTGAATTGTAAGTTTCTACAGGCGATGTGTTAAGGTAGTAAGTGTACAATTAGAAAGGAAATATAATTACATGTTTGGAGAACGCTAACATCATTGGATGAGCCAAATTCTTTGGAAATACGAGGCTGAACTGGACCGAATTCTTTGAAAAAGGAAGACCGAATTCTTCGAAAATGGAAACTGGACGACGTTCAAGTTTGGGGTGGATCTTCGAAAGGAAGGTAGAAAACGGGGAACATTTATTATTATTTGTGTTTGCCATTGTAAGAAGACCAAGTTTTGTGTTGAGGTAACTTTCTAAATTAAAGATTACGAGAAAATTTGTTCATGCATATATGCATATTTGATAAGGAGAATAAGAGAATTCCTTAAATAAAGATTGTTTACGAAAACTGTTATTGTTGTAGTTTTCAAATAGGATATTTGTATGATCGTATATATGTTTCACAGTTTAATACATAATGAAAAGTTGATAACTGAAGTAAGTATTATTATTTATGAGTTTAATAATACAGAGTTCCCAATCTTAGGAAAGAAACAAATTACTTTACTTAAATATTTCGCTACCGAATACCTGTATAGACGGCCTATCAGACCCACACATATTAATTTTTATCATGACGGGGCGATCTTGGAATAACATTCGGCCAACAGTCGAGTGAAATGTGAAACTTTAAACTGTAAATTCAGGAGAATAATTAAACAAAAAGATATCAGGAACGGCCCCCTGTCAGATTGGCGCCCAGTACGTGAGGCGAGATAGGTATTAAAAAT